CTTTTTTTCAAAATACTTTCAAAACTATAATGAAATTGAAAAAAGCTACAACCAATCGCCAGAGCTTTTATTTGTAAATCGAACGCCCGGAATGGTATATCTATAATTGCTGTAGCTCAAAGCTCTAGGAGGAGACAGGTTTGCAGTGACAAAAGTGTGAATGTTCAGTAGAGTGCAACAAAGTCCCAAGCTACTCAAAATAGGCATTCAAGGTGGCAAGGAAACAAGACTAGATATTACTGGAGCTGAAATTCAGTCTAGGATGGTGGGAACAATTGCACGAGCACCATCCCACACAACAGCAGCCAGGTAACTAAAGAGCAGAGGCTTCAGACAGTCTATTTATGTGCCCAGCCAGTAAATTTCACCTATCTTAAATGTGAAAAAATGAAAAAACTCCACCACCCCTCAACCCTTTTGCAATCTGTCATGAATGTATAAATCAACATAGAGATGATTTTGGTACCATTGGATAGATCAGAATCATCACAGAATGACAGCTATAAGATGAGCATAAAACAGGAAAATAAAAATTTGCAATTTTTGACCCAGAAAATCAGGTGGTAAAGGGTACATAGAAAATAAAATAAAAAATTTCAATCAAACAAGAGACAACTAAATAATTCTATAACAAATCTGAGGTACTATACAATTGAAACAGTTTGTCCACTATTCATTTTCCTTTTCCTTTATAGTCAAGTTACCAGGCAGATGCTGGCAGAGCACTGTATCTAAGGAAAGCTTTCCATCTTTGGTGGAAAGCTTTTTTATAAGTAAACTTCCTGTCTTAGAATTCTACCCTGTTTTAGGATGTTTACAGGTAGTCAGATACAGGCATTGAATATATCTACTTGGCAAGCTGCAACTGAATTTTTCAAGCTGTAGTTTTATGGATTTGCCAGCCATGATTCCATTTCTTTGAGCTGTGAATTCCATATTGCGACCATGAAGCCATGGCTGAAAATGTCCTACTTTTTTCTAAAATATCCTGGCTCTAATATCATAGAATTTTAGTAGGTATGAAATCTTGAGGCTCTAATGTCATGTATTTTTGTTAGATTGAAAAATTGTGGTTTGTAACTTTGCAAACATGTTGTTTCATAAAATTTTCCACTTCTGCAATAATGGTGCAATCTGCATTACTTCAATGTTCCTGCCAAATATCCTGCAAAATATAATAACAACAAGTCAACCCAAAATGCTTCCTTGAAGATCACATAGCTGCGGTCATGTCAGAGCAGTGAAGAGGGCCACAGAACATTAGCTATAATATCCAGTAGAATCATTCATTCACAATTGTACCTTAATGTATTTCATGTTTTATTTCATTACCTTTTGAGTGTCATGTGCATCTTATTAATCTTGTATCTTGTTCCCCTTGGTGTAATATTTAAGCAGAGTAAAAGTTAATGAGACAAAATTCTTGCAAGTCCATATGATATGCACTTTTGATTAATCTGCACCCCTGATTGCTGAATTGGAAATTCACTTGTTGCACCTGATTCTTTTCTGACCTTCAAAAGCCTGTTTAAGACACCTTAATGCACGAGTTGATCTACACCTCGGCTTGGTTAATCCCATCCTGATGCTCCATTTTGGTGAGTACAGTGCATTTCAGCTCATTAAAATGTCACCATGCTTATATTTGTCTTTTCTGAGCTCTTAACAAATGTTTTCCAGTCATTCATGCCTGTTTATAAAGAATGAAGGATGGCTTTCACTGGTTCTCATGTTAATCCTGTCCTTTTATTGCACAATTTTCATTTTGCTTACTTGAACCATGTTGTGTCCACCCTTGAATAACTTACTTTCTGTAACCCCTTCCATGCATCCATGAGTTAGTGTGTTTGACAAAACAGTTTTAAACATCCTCCTGATGTCAATATCTAGAAGGCTAGTTCTTATGAACGCATTTATTTGACTAGGAGCGGTTGGTGTGGAGCTACAGTCTTCTTGATGAGAACCTAAGATCGCTCGACCAACTCCTGGCCATCAAGAAAGAAGATAAGACATTCCACCTATGAACCAAAATTTGATTTAGATACCAACTTGAAGTTGATGAGCCTTGTGCTTTTCCTAGACACTATGAGTCCAGACATGTGACAATTTTCTAGTTGTTTCTAGGAGTATAATTACCGATTAGTATGCTAGTGTGACTAGGAGTATAAGAGTCTATTTAATGACTTCTGCGACTTAGTAGGACCAGTTGTCTTTCATAATCCACTCATGAATACCCCATACATTAGTGAGGGAATCACGTTGTGTCAAGAGAAGTTGAAACTTTAGTCTGACTAGCTAATCTACCAGAAGTGCGAAATTAGGATTTGCAGATTTAATTCGTGGACTGCATAACCGTTTGCTTTTTTCTTGCTGTACTTTCATTGATGTTCAACGTTTAGGTATTGTGTGACCTAGTCCGCTTATGCATTCCTGTGCTTGGCAACTATTTGTTTCTATTTTCTTGCCAAACACAATTGGTGTTCAAAGTGTGCTCTAGGCCCTAGATAATCATTAGCTCTCCCAACAGTCCAGGAAATGGTAAGATGGCTACAGCCCTTTGGGCATACTTCCTGCCATAAGGTAAGAGAGATGGTGCTGAGTGCAGTGTGGAGTGAGTTTGGTGTGCCTGGGTGTGGTATGTAAGTGTGTGTGACTTGGTCCACAAGCCACTCAGCATTGATCTCCATCCCTCCACCAGTGGTCAAGTTCTGCCTTGCCAACTATCACTCCTTGGCTTGTGCCTGAAGCCTGTGATGGTTACTACTTGATTTATGATTACTACTTGATTACTACTACTACTAGGAATGGTTAATACTTGATTTATGGTTGTAAAAACCATAGTTGGCCTTGGCTAATGTTTGAGTAAGACATTGTTATTATCTGGCAGCAGAAGCTGTTAATAACTATTTACATTTTGACTTTACTATTATTTTGTAGTTACTCGAAACTACAACGCTGAGAGGCCTCAGTGGTCCACTCATTAGAGTACTTTACCCAGACCACCAAGTGGGCTGAACTGACACCACCGCTAGTGTTTCAGTTAGACTAGGTACCATTCATTTATTGTTGTATCTGCCATTTTGTATTGTGTGTTTTGTTAGTAGTAAATTGTTCAGTGCTTTCCATGTTTCATGCCTTCCTGAATGTGACTCCTTCTGACCACATTCAGTATTTGTTCCATGACCAAGGTCTCAAGAGTTACAGTCTCGCATATTTGTGCGGGCTTACCGGGAACCGCTACAGCGGTCAGACTGCATTATCATGTGTTCAGTTGCCACTCAAGTGAAGCCAAATGTTAGTTTTGCTGCTCAACTGATTTAAAGTAAAATTAAAGATTTGGGGTAACACTTGCACAGACTTTGTAAATATGTTTGCAGCTTGTTCATGGCTTATAATGGTTGAGATATGGAATTCACAGCTCAAAGAAATGGAATCACGGCTGGCAAATCCCTAAAACCATGGTTCAAAAATTCAGTCGTGGCTTGCCAAGTAGATATATTTCATGCCTGCATGAAGCCATGTGTCCATGCATGTGTTACCCCAAATCTTCAATTTTACCCTAAAACAGTCAAAAACAAAACTAACATTTGGCTTCACTTAAGAGGCAACAGAACACATGATAGTGCAGTCTGACTGCTCTGATGTGACCACAGCTATGTGATCTTCAAGGAAATGTTTTGGGTTGACTTGTTATTACATTTTGCAGGATATTTTGGCAGGACTGTTGAAGTAATGCAGATTGCGCCATCATTGCGATTTGTGGAATTTGACAATTTCATGAATGGACATGTTTGCAAAGTTTCAAACCACAATTTTTTCAATCAAACAAAAACAGGGTGACAATCTAATTTTGGTACCGTAAAATGGGGTAACTTTGACCACTTTTTTTTTCAAAATGATGCCATTTTTTTACTAGATAAGTTAAACTTAAATTGAAACATGCAAAATACAGGTCTATACTTTAGCTTTACTCACCATAAATTGCTGGCTCCTGCCTCTCATAGTCCAGTGATTTTTTAGAATCAGTTCATTTTTAATTTTCTCATTTACCCAAGATTTAAGCCATTAAAGCCAATATCTTATGTATGATGATGCTGGTATCCATGATACTTTTTTGGTCTACTTATAGGACTTGAAATTGAACTTGAAGGAGAGTCTGAAAAACTCTCTGCTTTGCCACTATGGACTACTCCAACAGGCTTTAAATAATAGCTCTTTTTCGTGGGTCACATTATTAATTTTTTAACCTATTAGGCTATTAGATATGCAAACTTTTTAAATCTTTCTATAGTGTTACATAGCCTCAGTATTAGGCCTTTGATGGCCATTAACAAAATTTTTCCATGTCAATTCGTTTTTGAGTTTTGGGGATTTTTGTTAAAAAAACGAAAAGTGGTCAAAGTTACCCCGCCAGTCAAAGTAACCCCATTTTACGGTATTACTTTAGATTAAGTGCATCCAAAAAAAAGGGTGATTTTTTAATTATGTTTTTTGGGGTATAGACTATAGATAAAGAATCTGAAATCCGTTTTTGGCAGTCAGTATCAAAAAACCGATTTTTTTCCGATTTTTTATATATTAAGTTACAATTCAATTCTTTTGCGATTGTGATCAAATTTTTGGTCAAGCCAATTCAGAAGTGAATCGCATTTAACCAGCAGTTCCAACTCAATAGGTATATGTTTTAAAGAAAATAAAAAATAGTGATTTTATTATTAATCCAATCCAAAGCAACATGCTGAATAGGGTAAACGCGGTATATTCCGACATCGTAGGTAATTCCGTCACTTCTCTAGTTTTTCCTTTATATTAAGCTTTGTTTTAGTTCCATTTTTCTCGATGCGTCCTTAAAGTGTCGGAATATACCGCATTTACCCTAACCTTGATTATGAATTAAATGAATACATAACTAATCTTTAAAATGCATCATATTAATCAGTCAATTGTTTTGTATAAACATTTATATATAATTTTTATCCAATTTACAGTTTAATACTCACAATCCCGCTTATCCTGTCCTGACTCCTGTAGGCTGTACCGCTGTAACAGTTGACCTTTGTCAGAGTTGATAATAAAATTTCCTTTCTGGTTTTACTTTTAGTGATTAATTTGGGCTGTTGAAGAAACTCAAACTTCAAAGATCTAATTCCTGGCTTTTAAATATCTGGTAATGTTGTTTTGATTTTTAGTACATCAATGCAAAAGTTATGCAATTAACTTTTCTAAACTTTGACCGATGGCGATGAGCCGCGTATGTTGACGCCTTCGTGGATAAAATTTGAATGCAGGATCACAAAGATGCTCATGCGGCGAACAATTGATCCATGTAAGAAAGCGGCGCAAGCAATTCCGTAATTTTTAACTGCAACCATTTCCAAGAAATAAAAATAGCGCGCAATGAAGGGAAGGCTTAAAAAAATATTATCAACAAAAAGATTCACTCCGTGCTATATGACGATCCTCAGAACAGTTCTACACTTTTAAACATCCTGCCGCGTGCCATTTATAAATTACATTCACATTTCGCTTGTCTAGTCAGTTTGCTCTTAATATTCGGAATCCCAATGTTTTCCGCGGCAGTAAATGGATGTCTTGTTCGTCACTAGAGAAGTTTGGCGCCTCATTCTTTTGATGTTCTTGATGATGATGATGACAGGTTGTAGGTGACGAAGAAGTCCAGCGCAGACCACTTGTAACACCTGGACTCAGCAATGATTATTAAATTAAAGACTTTGTAGAGACCACATGAAGTAGATGTACCATCAACAAGTTTTGAGCCATCACAGTAAATTGCCGTGTAATTCCGATATTTCTCATCCAGATGAGCAGCAAAAAGACAAGGTGTGGCGACCTCAGTACTGGATTGGAAATCAAGACAAATGAGAGCAGACAGACTGCACCAAGGTGGAACTGGATCATGCACAGGAGTGGAATGACCTCGACAAGGAGGGAGACCAAAATCATGCAATATTTCTGGGCCATATTGAAGAGCTGAAGGTGTGGCACCAAACACAACTGCGGAAGTCTTATCCCCATTTGGACGATATTTAAGGCGAATGTACATACTGGCAGACAGATATCGGCGTCTCAAACTCAAAGAAGGAATATGAGCCTCCACTTGGAGAGACATTATGGGTGTGGTCCGTCGAGCTCCAAGTATAAGTCGTAGACAGGCATTCTGCAGGATTTCTAGCCGCTTTAATTGGGCAGAAGAAGCTGTTCCATAGAGTATACTACCATAATCTATCTTGGCCCTTATGAATGCACAGTAAAATAGACGCAAGAAACGGGAACTTGCACCCCAGTTTGGGGAAGTCATATGTTTGAGCAAATCCATACGTCGCATCACGTCAACACGCAGATAAGTGAGGTGGAGGACCCACTTGAGACGTGGGGCGTCGAGCATCATTCCCAGTATTTGATGTTCTTATCGCCACTGTGACTTGCTGACGCCTGGGCTGAAAGAGGAGAGGTCAGAGGTGTCTCTATTGTAGGCAAAGAAAAACGTAAAAATTCAAGATGGAGTCATAGTACACACTCAATCACATAGTCCTATGCATGGTAACTTTCACCCATGATCTTTTTCAAATTTTTATCGTAAGAGTTGAGACTTGAGGGAAAAGGGATATTGTTGGTATTGTAGTGGCCGCATCAATATGCTGCTCACCGTGCAGCGTTGCCAGATGGTATATTTCTATACCAGATTTCACAAATCTGGTATTTTCAGAAGGTGTCTGGTATGAACATTTTAGATCTGGTATATTTGCCTAAATCTGGTATTTTTCTGGTATTTTCTGACTTACCGCAAATTTACTGCATTAAGTTCCACCTCTGAAGTTTGAATTTCCTCCAACGTAGGCGTGGATTATAAAGATTACCATCAGAGTGGCGCGACTAGAGGTTTCCCGCCATTTTTGGAACCGCAAGTTTACCGCTTGATAAAATTACCCCAATTTAATTGCTATCATTTAACAAAAGTGCTTAGTGCAATACGAGCATGAGAGTGATGATCCTCGATAGATTACTGATCAGTGATGAACTGATGATATGGCCTTGGACGAGTGAGGCTGTCGAACCGATCTCTGCGACGCAAGCTCCACCGTTTTTGTTTGGTGGTTTTGAATTATAGAGTGCCACTTATTGGGGTGCCACTTGAATTCTGGGGTGCCATTCAATATATCACTGATCTTGACAATTATCATCCATTCAAGGAACTGGCTGCCTACTGCATCACTTGTCTACTTTCACCTGTCTCCAAAGCATTCGTGGTGCAAGTGTTTTCACAAGTCACATTTGAGAAAAACATGCAACGGAATAAAATTTCAACTACGGTACTGGAGTCCTTTATTCGGACCAAAAGCTATCTGCTCAACCGCAACAAGTGATCACACCCGAAATGTTAGATTAATGCAATATGCAAGCACGTACGAAAATAAGCAAAATGAAGATGACCTGTTTCCGTGGCTTGCTCATGTTGAGCGAAGAGGAAAAAGTGCCACAATGACACAGTTGACACTGATAAAAAAGGAAAAGGTGTCAATGTAATCAAACACAGGAAAAGAAAAGTGTCAAAATGTTCCAAACAGAGGGAAAAAATATAACGTGTTCAATTTGGCTAATTATCGTCAAGCCAGATAACTGCATAGTACATAAGATAATATTTTTTCTAACCAACGTTTCTGACGAATAGTTTTAATAAATTTGGAGGTATTACTCTGTTTTTGAACGATAGAATTTCTGGTATATTTCTGGTATTTTGAGCTAGGCAATCTGGCATTCTCGCCAAGAAAAAACCTGGCAACACTCATTGCTGCATGTGCAAAAAGGCCGCAGCAAGATGCTGCATGTGCAGAGTGGCCGCAGCAAGATGCTGCATGTGCAGAGTGGTCGCAGCAAGATGCTGCATGTGTAGCAAAAGCATCAATCCTTGCAATTGGCAGGGAATATATTAGTGGGAGAGGAAAGGAACGAACATTGAAGAATCTTCATTAGCAAAATTATTATTATTCGCGGGAGACAATTTTGCATTTCAGCGCAAGTCTCGCATTATTACCGTCCGACGTGCAAGTAAAATCATTGCATTGTTAAGCCACTCATTATTACACACATCATTGACAAAAGATTATAATTTCCTGCATATGGTGAAGTCAAGTTTGTGAATTTAGACAACATTATACGAAGTTCGACGTATAATTAAATTAATTGCATTGCAAAGCCTCACATTATTACAAACATTATTGAAGGAAGATTATAATTTTCTGCATCTGGTGGAGTCAAATCTTTTAATTTAAATAACATTAAACGAAGTAATAAAATATTCCTGTGATGCAAGAATTAATGCATGTAATGTACCGGAAAATACGAGGCAGCTTATTTTTTGACGCGGTACGCTCGGTAAAGTGGATACGACCTGCTATATCTGTCCGCGTCGGTAAAATTTTGACATCTTTTGAGACATAATTTGCTGCAGTGAGTCAGTGATTGCTTGATTCGCCGTCACTTGCTTCGCACGCTTGTATGCCGGGCCATGTTTCGCAAGATGAAGTTAGCCTCGTGGTCTTTTGAGGTGAGTCCAGAATACTACAATCTGTATTCTAATTCCGAACTAACTTTTGAAGACACCGTCGAGCTTTTGGGATCTAATGGAAAAGACGATCGCCCTGAATCAAACTAATTCAGGAAAACTTTATACTGGGAAAAGCGCTAGAACAAAAAATTTGATCGTAATTCAAATTGTGCAGGATTCAACTTTTAAAAAGAAACTCAGAAGAAGTCAAACCAAAATATATATATAACAAACATCGAAGATAATTTTACATAAGATATGATATTTAAATGAGGCAGGATTTCGAGTTCACAGGCAAGACTGAAGCACAGAAGTGCTGGAAGATCAAGATACAGTAGTTGCGGACCGATTTACGATGGCCACCGATGTGCTGCCCACTTTGAATAATCAACGATACTGAGGATGGACCAGCCTTGAAACATCAATACTTTGTTCCTTTAAGAAAGGGAACGGTGGCAGAGTAAATATTTTGAGTGTTACTGCACAGAAGACGGAACGTTGACCGCTGAAAGTTCAATGTTCAAGATGTCGGCGATATATGAAAAAAGTGGCTAGGTACCAAACGAGTAATGTTGAACCTTAAGCTCGGTGACGTCTTCTTACGAGTTTATTTTGCTCATACTAGCTAGTTATACTAATTATTCATTTGTGCGAAACTTTTAACCGAGCTGTCAGACAAGTTCAAAGTCAATTGATCTCAACTTGTTTTCAAGACGAAATTTCGTCACTTTTGTGATTTTTCTCAAGCATTATTAATTGAATTATGATATAATGTTGATATTTTTTAATTGAATGCGTCATGCTGTTTTTAATTCTTATTTGGTTGCTTGTATGAGACTTGTGTCTGGTTTATATCATATTTGTATATTTCTTTTATATGTAATTCTCCTGCACTTCAAGTGCATCAAATCAATAGTTAATTGTTCAATATTTCTATCTCGTAATTGTCCCAAGACATTCAATATGGCAAGTTTAAAATTGGGCTCTAAAGTCATTGATCACGGTACCTAGAGTGAGTGCATGGGGGTCAAAATGAAACGATTTTTTATTTTAAAATTCAACTGAGGAAAATCAAGACACATCCTAAAGCGATGAAAATAACTTTGCCGAAATGGGTCATGTATGCAACTTTACAACTACTCATTAATTTGTTTTGCCTTTTAGCATCTCAATCTTATCTCTTGACGAATTGAATCAAACGCTCCGAAATTAATTTTTTTAACTTATGTTCAGCTACCAACGTTGATCCATCGCGCGATCTCGCGCCGTCCAAAGCAAACAAACTCGCCCTCGTCGGTCTCAACTTTCCCGGCCTAAACACAAAACATTCGTTGATTCCGCATTAATAATCACGCCAAAACCTGCTCTCTAAATTTTAGTTAAAATTTTGATCTAAATAATTTAATAATGCTCCCTTATGATAAGCTATTTACAAGCCCCAGTGTTAGTTAGAGCCGAGGGACTTATTTCAACGCCATATTGACATCAGTTTTCCCGTATTGAACTTATACGATGCAATTGTTTAAAAAACTGCTGTTGTTTAGTAATTTGTGTTTGCTCATTGTGATGTTGCTACTTATTCGAATTATATATTGCCTACCGTTGCCT